TTCTTGTCATCTGTATCTCTCCTTGTCTGGTTCCACGAGAAAGGGGACTTTCCTGGTTTAAATCTAGGTGTAAAATTTTAGGGTGTCACATCAGGTGTCACATGGGGGTGTTGTATGGGGTATTCATATACTAATAAAAAAACAAATTACAGAATCCGTCAGTAATCTGTGAGACGAATTTATTAAACCTAATTAATCCGTCATTAGCATATGCGTTACTGTAGCACCACATTGTCAAATCATAGCCTAATTAGACATAAAAGATTCATCTCGCAAATTAGTCGTAAACTGTGCAATTAGTTGTTTTTTAGTCTATATTCCCTCCGTCCTAGAAAGAAGGTCGTTATGGGATACGTGCAAGTCAAACTTTCTCAACTTTAACTAGGTTTGTAAAAAATACATGCAACATTCATATCTCTAAATAAATTTATTATGAAAGTATGTTCAATGATCTATCTAATGATACTAATTATATATTATAAATATTAATATTTTTTATATATATAATTGGTCCAAGTAAAATAGAGTTGACTTCTCGAAAAGCGAAAATGACTTCTATTTTAGGAAAAGGGAGTATTTAATATTCAATGCATATATCAGACATTTGATGGCACATAAAGTAATCTTTAAGGTGAGGAATTAAACAAGATCTTATTCCGCGCTGCAACTCTGCCGACGGCGCCTACCTATTACTGTGCAAGTAGGACATGAAAAGCTTCCATTCGGAATGTTGTAGAGGTAGCCATCAGATCGTTACAGTGGGCGCTTAATAATTGCCCTGTTCGCTTGGCTGATAAGCCATGGTTGAAAGTACTGTTGGCTGATTTGTTGTGATAGAAAAATACTGTTCGTTGGCTGAAAAAGTACGACTCATAAGCCAAGCGAATAGGGCAAATAGTGTGGTGGTGATTTCCTATGTCTCCATCTGTTTCTTCTGAACCGGTGCTCCAGTAGTCCGGTAGCAGTAGCAGCTAGCGAAGGACACTGTCATCGCCCAGCTGACAATGTTACCTTCAGCTTTGCGCTTCTTTTCTGAGGTTCATTAGGGCAACTCCAACCAAGGCCTTATCTCAGCCTCATCTCATTTGAGGGTCCAAAACACAAAAAACGCTCTCCAACCCATCTCCTATCTGGCCCCGACGAATAAGGATGCCTAATTCCTCTCTCCTTGTCCCCCACATCCAAGGGAGTCCTATCCGAAGCCTCATCCGGCGGAGGGGAGCAACGGCCAACTTCCCGCGCCACCCCGGAGTTCTCTATGGCGGTATGTCCCCATCCTTCTGTTCTCATTTTGGTGTCGCCCATGGTCGCCGCTGCTCCCATGCGGAGGTCGCCCCTTGCTGCGCCTGCCAAATCTGCTTCCTTCTCACCCATGGCCGCCACTGCTCCCGTGCGGAGGTCGCCCCCCTGCTGCTACCGTTCGTCCTGCTGGAGCTCGTGACCTGCGAAACCTGGTGGAGCGGCCTCTTGCTTGCGTCCCAAATCTCGACGAGACAAATTTTTTTTTTGAATTTGTTTAATAGGTGAAGAACGACCGGCTGTAGCTTTCCCATTGATGTGTTGGAGGTGTCAATTAGGCCATTTCATTTTTTTTATTTATTCAATAGGTGAAGAAGGTTCCGAAACTTATGTGATTCTAAGATGGCAAAATTACCGGTAGAACTTTTCTGACTTTCATGAGATTGTTTAGACCTATTGAATATTATCTGCTGGTTGTAGACAGATTGAGGTCTTATTTTTAGTAGTTCAAGTTGATTTTTGTATTCTTAGAATTATTGAAGACAATTCCTATATGCAGGAAGAAAAAATGCAGAGTTAGGTTGATTTGGTCTCAGCCAATGGGGGACACCAATGATCTATTTTTTGATGACTTTCAAGTTGAAACACATGTTGAACAAGTTGCTGAGGAAGACAATATGTTGGTGACAGCATGGCTAGAAATTAGCTTGGATCCAGTTCAGGGCACTGATCAAACTCGTAGTACCTATTGGAACCGAATTTATGATTACTATCATGAGCACAAGACTTTTGAGTCAGAGCGTAATATCAGTTCTCTCTCTCACCGTTGGGGTATCCATCCACAAAAGTGTTAATAGATTTTGTGGATGGTATACTCAGGTTCAGAATAGAAAAGAAAGCGGACAGACAGAGTAAGATAGGGTAAGTTATTTAATTGTGTTAATTGATTGAAAATGTATATGTTTTGTGCATCGTAGCCAACACATGTTTCTTGTGCAGATAGAACGGGCAAAAGAAATGTATGTAAAAGATCCAGAGAGGAAATCATTTACTTTCATGCACTATTGGAATAAGTTGAAGCATGAGCAAAAGTGGGCTGATCTAGGTTGTGAAACCTCTCAAAGCTCTCAGAAAAAACACAAGAAGTCCTCAACTGCAAGTCCAGGGTCATGTACACCTGGAACTCATGAAAGTAAGCATGCTGATGAAGAGGAGGGACCAAGTCATACATCACCAAGGAAAGGAAGGCCAGATGGTAAGAAGAAGGAGAAAGCACGCAGATTTGGAAATCCTAACTCTCAAGGAGAAGGCCTTTACATGGAGGCAATGGAAAATTGTGGGCAAAGAGAGAAAAGGCCGAAGAGATGAGGGAGATTAAGAAAAAAGAATATAATGATGAGAGGCTTACAGTAGCGACTAGAAGGCTTGAAATCAAGCAACAAGTAGAGAATAGGAGGCTGGATTTAATGCAACAAGAAATAGAGTTGAAACGGAGAGAAGATGATGAGAAAGTTGTGAATATGGACCTTACTAGTATGAGTGAGCAACTAAAGGTATTCTATAAGACATTGCAGGATGAGATCATTGCTCGATGTTGTGGTGCTAGCAAGTAGAGGCATCGTGTTTTATTTGTGTTTTGTGTGTGCACTATGGACTATGTTTATTTAAATTATATATCAGTATGTTTGTTATCCAAGGAACTCTGTAAGCATAATTTGTGGCTCGATTATGGACCTCTATATGTAGTGATTGTTAAATTGTGTGCGCAAATGACTGATGAATTTGACTGATACATGACTGAAAATAGAGAGTACAAGACTTATACATGACTGATAAAATAGAGGGTACATGACTGATACATGACTAATAAAATAGAGGATACATGACTGATAAAATAGAGGGTACAAGACTACATGGATATGACGGTACACTACTGATACATGTCCGGGTGCTGTTGCCAAAGGTGCTCGATAAGATCGTGCTGAAATTGGGTGTGGATTTGCCTATTTCTAATATTGTGATGAGCTTGTAAGAATTCACGGAACTCCTGTGTATGATTATGAGCTTCACGTGGAGTAGGCCTCACAAGCTGGCATGCCAAATCCAAAGATCATGTGATGCAACTGCTTCGAGTATTATTGTAGGCTCGTGCTCATGCCCAGTATATTGTCCGCGCCATGGGTTAGGACAATTCTTTCACCTCCAATGCATGCAATCCAAACTCTCAAGCATTCCTAGAAAACCCCTCCGCTGCCTGATTGCAAGCAATCTAGCGGTGTCATTTTCATTAGGGGATCTCAGATACTCCTCTCCAAACACTTCAACAACAGCTTTGACAAACCTTCTAAGGCTTTGTATGACAATACTTTCACCAATACGAATGTATTGATCCATGAAATCAGCTGGTACTCCATAACTAATCATAAAAAAGCTGCAGTGATCTTTTGCAAAGATGATAACCCGAGTCGTCCAACTCTATCTCTTTTTTGCAAAAAAGTAATTATCATGTTGCTCTACAGCTTGCACTATGCGAAGGTATAGCGTACGAGACATCCTAAACCCGAGGGACAAATCCAAACTAAGCAAACATGGACATAGGAATGTGGATAAAGAAGGTAGACAAAAATTTACAGGCTATTAGCGAACCTGCGCCGGAAAAAAAGTGGCCCGTAAGTTGGATTTTCGGAGAAATAGTCAATGTACAACCTCCAGTGTCCACTTTCTCTGTCCTGATGAATGTACTGATGCCCAGGTACAGAACCACCGCATCGTGGAGCATGGAGAGCTTGATATTAAGTGTGTGCTTGGTGTAATACAGTAAGGGTGTTTTTAAGATCATCATCACCGTCATCAGACGAGGAAGATGAATCTAGTCGAGAGAGATGACTCATTTTCAGTGGAGAAGAAGCAACACAATGTCGGAATTCGTTTAGGAAATGGAATGGCCATACATACATATATAGATCGAAAACATATAACCGTTGGAGATAGAGCACTTGAAATATAGCCGTTGGAAGGGTGACCGTTTGATTTGTAGCTGTTGGAAGAGTGAAGGTTCAAATATATAGCCATTCGAAGACTGACAAACCAAAAAATAATAGTTGTAAACTATTTGAAAAATAATTTCTTCAATATTTAGCCATACAAAAATATTGTTAACAAATATCCATTCCAATAATACCAATTTGAAATAACACGGTTTAGCAATAAAATACTGGAATTGGTAGTTAGAAGTTATATATAAAATATAGGTGAGAGAAATATATGGAGGCTAAAATGAGGGTTCAGTTGGAGACTTGGAGTGCAGAGATAAATGAGGGATGAAATCTGGACGAGGGACTCTCATTTCTAGATGTAGAGGGTCAAATTTTGAGGAATTGGTTGGAGTTACCCTTAGAGTCGCAACCTTGAGCGCAACTAACAGGTTCATTAGAGTTAAAACTATTGACACAAGAAATAGCAGGAAGAAACTGTCAACAATATTATAGCTTGGAGTATGCAAACAACAAAAATCTATATGAAATAAACTGGTCATCAACAGGGTCACCATTGCCTAGCTCATCAACTGTCGCATAAGTGTTCGGACGATGATTTTTTTGGCTGATAAGACGGCTGATGTTATTTTGTTAAAAAAAAATACTTGATAAGCCGAGCTGATAACTTAAGCGAAGAGGACGATATACGGTTTCTCTAGTGGTGACAGCTCCCCATCCCGGGCCGGCGGGCCCAGAAACTTCAATCAAAGAACCCTAACTAAACCCATGGCGCTCTCCGCCGGTCGCCGGTTCTCCACCACCGCGTCCGCCTCCTCCGCAGCCGCCGCGGCGCCGCCGAAGCTCTCCTCGCTGTTCCGCAACCCGAAGCCTCGACCGCGGCCGGACCCCGGCGTCGAGGCGCCGCGGCGGGGGCCGAGGCCCAGGCCGAGGCAGCCGTGGGAGGAGGAGGCGAGGGCGCTGCTGCGGCGGCTCCACGAGGTGGGCTACCTCCCGGGGCCCGACCTCTCTTCGGCGCCGCACGCTGTCTCCCCCGACGCCGTCAAGACCGCCGCCGAGCGGTTCGGGCACGCCCACCAGCCCGTCGCCAAGTGAGCGTCACCGCCGCCCCTCTTGTTGCTCCTACGCTTATTGTTTCAGGCCTTGTTTGGATGTTATCGTATTCGCCTCAATCATTGGCACTGAGTGTATCGTTTTACACGCGTAGATTTGAAATCATTGGCACTGAATGTATCTCACGAGCTCTACCTAGTGTTTCTTCTAGTATTCCAAGCCAAGATTTGTTGGTTATGAATCAGTGATGAGGATGAGATGAGATTTTAAATTTTCACACCGCATTCCAGCAATCAATTGGGGTCATGTTGTCATGGAATGTACGAAGTGGATTAGTTGCAAGTGTCGAATTGTTGCTCAGTGTTAGCACGTAGCAGATGCTTCAAATCGCAAGCAACTAGACTGTCCATTGTGCTTAAAATAACCTAATCGAAGGAGAAATTTGCTTTTATTTTGTTTTCAGATACTTCCTAAATGCTTTAAAGTAAACCCTTGCAGTTTGTCTCTTGGAGGACATTAGTGTTTCAATGGTATTCTTTCACAATTTGGTTAGGTCCAGACCAGATGCAAGTAACTGGGATCGGAAAGTTAACTTTTCCTGTTCATGTGGATTGTGAAACCGGGGAGAATTTCTCGAAATGTGCTGTTGATTTGGTCAGCAATGTTAGAATAGCACATTCACCGTGTTGTTTAATTCCACCGCCTTGGGAACTAGCTGCGCTTATGTTTTACATGCATAGCTTTGGATTCATTAGCACTGAGTGTATCTCTCATGAGTTCTTGTTTTTCTTCTAGTGTGTTGGTTATGGATTGATGATGGGGATGAGATGAGCTTTTTAAAATTTCTACACCACATTTAACAATCAGTGGGGCTATGTTGTCATGGAATGTGCGGAGTGGATTAGTTGTAAGTGTTGACTTGTTGCTCTGGATACATCTCTGTAAGCATTAGCTGATGCTTCATATTGCAAGCAACTAGATTAAGCATATAATCCAATGTAATTAAATAGCCAAATCAAAAGTGAAATTTGCTCATATGTTGTTTTCAAATACTTCCTACATGCTTCTAGGTAAAGCCCTTGCAATCTGTGTCCTGGAGGACATTCATGTTTCTTCTTTTCAATAACTTATTACACTTCTTAGTTCAATCCATCTGTCTCAAGCTTTATGATATTTGTATTTCACGCGATAAATTGTTGAGCAAATTATTTGCAGCGCAAATTATTTGCAATGCATCAATATTATATAAACCACCTCATTGAATTTACCTTCCTCTGGACCCTGCCAATTAATGAGTGTTGGGGTAAAACAGATCTTGGTAAATGATAAGACCCTACCTTCGAGTTGAATCCTTGCACAAGTATTTAAATTCTGCAATATTACTACTCAAGTTTTTGTAGTTATCAGGGTATGACAGTTGTTTTGCTTTGTATGAACTTACTAATTTCTATTAGTTAAAGTGAAAAGGAAAGCAAGTTGCAGAGCAATTGCTTGTCAGTTGTCACTAAATCTGTCTGGTGTTGAACATGTGTATCCTGGAGGACATTTGTGTTTCATCTTCATAAAACATATCACATTTGTTTGTTCCATCCATGTGGTTTGAGCTTTACTATATTTGTATTTGACGGGATAAATTGTTAAAAAAACTATTTGCAATCATCAATACTATACAAAACTGCCTTATTAAATTTTCTGTCTTTTGGATGATGCCAAGTCATGATTCTGGGGATAACAGATCTTGGTAATGGATAATGCCCACCTTCAGTTTGAATCCTTGGATAAGTATTAAAAATCCTGCAATGTTACTGGTCTGGATTTTGTAGTTAACATGTATGTAAGTGTTTCTTCTGTATGAACTTAACAATCTCTATTAGCTAAAGTGAAAGAGAAAGGAAGTCACACAACTATTGTGTCACGAAATCTGTCTTCTATTGAACATTTGTATCCTGGAAGATGTTCATGTTTCTTCTTCATAAAACTGATTATTACACTTCTTAGTTCCATGTGGTTGAAGCTTTAATACATCTGTATTGTACAGGATGATTATTGTGCAAAATATTTACAATACATCAGTATTATATAAACTGCTTCATTGAATCTATGATCCTTTGGATACTGCCAAGTCATGATTCTTGGGGCAAAACAGATCTTGGTAAGTAATAAGTCCCCATCTTAGATTTGAAAAGTTGCATAAGGATTGAAATTCTGCAATGTGACTGGGCAGGTTTTTGTAGCTGGGTATGGGTTCGTATGATCATAGTATTTTCAATCAGCTAAAGTGAAAAAGAAAGGAAATCTCAAAACTATTGCTTGTCACTAAATATGTCTGCTATTGAATATTTTCTCTATTGCTGGCAGATGGCTGTCTGGGAGTGATTTGAAGAAGGTTGCCTTGTTTGGGTGTCCCACTGTTGAGCGAAGAACGGTTTTCGCATCAAAAAGATTAAGAGCCTTCTTCAACATCCAGGAAGACAAAGTAAGTTTACATAGTTGCTTGGTGGGGTCGTTGGCATAAGTCTTAACACATCAATATTTGGAGAGAAAAACAAAATGTGCTCTTAATATAGGCTCAATGCTAACTTTTTAATCTTGTCCCCTTTCAGATATGCAGCTCTTGTAAACTGAGAAGTTCGTGCAAGTTTGTGAACCAGGAAGTGCCTAGGCATAATAAAGTGATTCTATCAGATACGATGAGAGTTGTTTCTTTGTTTGTACTGGATGCTTGCGCGCAGCAACTCCAGGTTACTGCTGAGTTAAAAGCCAGCATCTGCAAGCTGCTAAAGGACACCATAAATCTTAGCAGTTAATTGCTGAACATCCAGAGCAAAGTCTGCAGTTTTCTTGCCCTTCTAGTTCTAACAGAGTGCCATCAGCATTTATTTGGAGGAAACAGCCGAGGCCCATGTTGGATGCTGATATCGCAATCACTCCCTGTCAAGGTTAGACTATGTAGAGACTTAAGATGCATATCGCTCTGTAGCTTCTTTTCTTATTGATATATACTGTAGTACTGATATTGTTTCCTGCTTCCATTTCATTCAATGTTCATGAATTCAGGTTCAATCAAACAAATAAGAGACATATACAGCATTTTAAATTCGTGCTTTTACTTATTACATGGCACTAAACTGTCCTTTTTGGTTTGCAGGGCTTGTTCGCTTGAACTTATCAACCGGCTTATCAGCTAGAAATTACAGTATTTTTCTCTCACAGCAAATCAGCCAAGGCCGGCTTATCAGCCAGCTTTCTAACGCTGGATGGAATACGCGGAAACAAACAATGTTCTGGTCGAATTTGAATTGTAAATTTGATTTTTTATTTTGCGGAAAAATGTATTGTAGGGGCGGTTCTAGGCTGAACCGCTCCTACAAACAGGTATTATAGGGGCGTCTGGTACTACAGCCGCCCCTACAACAAATCGATTTGTAGGGGCGGCTGGTCGCCCCTACAGATAACACCAGCCGTCCCTACAAATTGATTTGTAGGGACGGTCTAGGAACCGTTCCTTTAAATATATGATTTGTAGAGACTGTTTGATAGGGGCAGCTGGCCAAAACGCTCCTGTAAATAGTTTTGAGCCGCCACTACAAAATGTTTATGTAGCAGTGGTTAACACAAACAACCTTGATTACGAATTGCTCAAGAGCATGCACGCAGGTCGTAATTTTGAGTGAGTCGATGGGTCAGCCACAAAATCCTCGATCGATCTCAGCCTCAGCAGCCTTGACCGATTTAGCACGGCGGCCAGCTAACTGCTCCTGCAACTTCCCAACTTGCATTCAGACGTACGTGAGCTCGCTCCAGCGTCCAGCCTCTGGCGGCGGTCTGATGACCTGACCTGCACGACTTCTCAGCCCCGGCCTCCTTCCATCATCCCCGCCAGCTGCCGCCATGCATGGCCATGGTCCATGGATCGATCGAGAGCTGCTGAGCGATGCCATGCCTGGGTCCTCGATCGCCGCCGGCAACATTATTACATTAACCTGCTTATTACATAGGAGTAGTGTCGTGTAGTGGCATGCATATGGTTAATTGGTCATTAGCTAGCTCGATCTGCTAGCTAGCACGTACGTGTTGTTTGACCTACTAGCTAATTAACCTACTGGACTGCTGCCAGCGCCCAGCGGTGTCCTGCTCTAATCCTTCCACGTGGCGCCGTACGACGTCGAGGCTGTCCTCTTGCACTGCGCACGCACGCACGTACACTTGGATTCGGCCCAATGACAATGAGCACTGAGCAGAGCAATGCTCTACTGCTACGTACGTAGTGGCCTCGATCGCGCGCTCTTGAGAGTCTTGTCTCCCCTGAAATGCCTGCACAGCACACCCTATAAAAGTATTTCTATGCTGCAACCTAACGTCGCTCACATTCTTCGTTCCTCCCTCTCCCTGTTCCCGCAAGTGCTCCATACATCACATATACGCCAAGCCAAACACAGATACGTACCAGCAGGGAGGCCGCATCGGGGCTCAAGATCGAGCCACACCAGCCAGCCAAGAAGGGCACGCACGCACGTGTATACGCACCTTGCCATGGCTCCGTCGTCGTCGTCGCTCCACCGCACGGCCGCGGCCTTCGTCGTCGCCGCGCTCCTCCTCCAGGCGTCGCCGCCCTCGTCTCTGCTGCAGCTGCAAGCGGCCAGGACGACGCCGACCGATGGCCGCCAGCAGCAGGAGGAGGCGCGCGCCCCGACGGCGACGAGTAGTAGCGGCTCCGGATCCACACCTGCGTCAGCGTCGTCGGTGCAAGAAAGGCCGCCCCCGCTCGCGCTTCTGCTGCTGCCGCCACCGCCGCCGACCACCACCATTGAGGAGGCATCAGCTCCCCGCAGCCGGATGCTCGGCTCCGTGCCCAGCCCCGGCGTCGGCCACTAGCTAGCTACCTCCTGCTCCACCTCCACGCCTCGCCCGCCCATGTTCCATCTCCGCCAACTCTTCTGCCAAGAACTAGTAGCGTACTACTAACCATGCGTGCGTACTATTATATTGATTACTTTGTAATCTCAGTTCCAGTTCCAGTTGCAGTTGCAGTTTTCAGTTTCAATTTCAGAAAGAGAGATCATCTCCACATGCCATGCCACACGCATACATGTGGACCGGAGTTTAATTTCAGATGAGACACTTTTATCCACTGGCGGACCCAGCGGGTAGTCCAGGTAGGCCCGGGACTACCCGCCGCCGGGCAGCTCGCCAAGGACTCCAGGGCCGCATCCATGGCCGCCCGTGGCCGACCTCCTTCCACCCCCTCCGGCCGGGGACGAGGCTGCGGCCGCGGCAATGGGAAGGGAGTCGGAGCCGATGGACGAGCCGGGGTGGCCGCAACCGCTGTGCCTGCGCCGGAGGGGTTCGGAGTTGGGAGATCAGGAGCTCGAGATGGAGTTCGTCCATGCGGTGGCGGCAGTGGATGGAGGCACTAGGGAGAGGAGAGGGTTCGGGGATGGGCGGAGCGGTTGCGGCGTGTGGTTGCGGTGCTGAGGGGGCGGGATTTATGGACGCGGAGGCGAGGGGAGGAGGAAGGGCCAGGTCGTGGAGCTCGCTGTCAATGGCGGCCGCGATTCGGTTGCGCGGGAGAGTGGGTCAGGGCGCGAGCGACTGCGTTGGGCGTAGTGCGGTGGACGGCTGGACGCGGTAGCGGGAGGGGGCTGGCTCCGCGCGGTGCTCGGTCCGCGGACTTGGTCGCGTGGGGCGGCCTCGTCACATGGGCGCCGACGATGGCGGAGGCGACAGCGAGAGGTAGGGGAAGAGCCTGACAGGTAGGCCCGCTGGACAGTGACCGAGCGAGAGAAGGGCTTGGGCTGATTGGATCTATAGTCACTGAACTTTTTTAGATTTTATTGCAATTTTTTTGGTCAGCGATTTTTTTCAGATTTTATTGTATTGTGTTGAAAAATTTTGATTAGGACTACCCTCGTTTCAAATCCTGGGTCTGCCACTGCTTTTATCTATATGCTAATTAAACTTGAAAATTTTGGTTCTGTATTTGTCGATTTGTTCATGGCGCTTTCTGGCTGATCCTGATGTGGTGTGGAATGTTACGAAAAACAAGTTCAAGCTTGTCGACGTTTTCACGTGGGTTCCCTTTTGAGTTCCCATCCGGCGGAAAATGAAACGGTACCACCTGATCCGATCCTTCTGAGTTTTCCATTTCCATGTGGCGCCAAAACAACTCCTCGTCTCTTTCCTTGAGTTTTCTTCTTCTCTTCGGTTGCTTGCCTTGCATCGACGTCCATCGTGTTGCGTGCGTGCATTGCTACAAATGATCGATGAGTTCACCGGCAATGGCAACAGCTGATGCTTCTTCAATTTCCTACTGCTACGTACGTACATACGCATGGAGTGCTAAGTACTACCAGTACCTTCCTTCCCAAAACGATGCGATTTTGGGTTTGAATTGATCAACCAAATTTCCTTAAATTTTACTAACTTTACAGAAAATATTCACCCTGTTCGCATAGCTATGAAGCGGTGAGGTCTAACATCAGTCAGTTGGCATCTGGCCTCGGGGGTTCTGAGGAGTGAACACTGAGGACACAGCTAATAACATCCAGCAATCTTGGATAAGCATCAGGTCTCATGTTTGCTTGATGTCCCGACAACCTCGCTATATCTGCATTGAATTGCCTAACGATGTATAGGAACTGTGGACGTTGACGGCGACCTCAAGTTGGAACAATCTGATGACATAATTAGTTCATTCCCCTTAGGAGATATGATCAGCGCGTTTGTGAAGTTCCTTGTCTCTCAAGCATCACATGTTTGACAACAATTATATATCGACGATAATAATTCTTGTTTATGGTTACTTGATAACTCCTCTTTTAAGGATACTTGATGTTGGAAGCCATCGTGCCAATTTCAGTGTTTCGGTGACTTTACACGACGTATTAGAAAAAAAAAAGGACACTGTATCCTAGTATGTGATGTGACTCGTTCTTCATTTTCTTGTATACAGTATAATTATTATCAATATCTATGACTCCCAATAGCTACTCCCGGGAGTAGTTACTCCCATCTTCAATAAATCACATTGCGTATATGTACATACTCATCATTTATCAGTTTAAGTTTGTTAATATATACTCATATTAAGATACTCCATATCTTTACTATGTGAAAAAATTTCACAAGAGCCCATATATTTTAATATATTATTTAATACTAATACTATTATAGTAACATATAAAATAAGTATGACCATATACTCTAAGTATACTTTGCATACTTGACACACATAGAGTATCCTAGATGGTATAGTAGGATGATAGACTCCGTCTACACGCACTTCGTCAGGCCATATACGCCCTAAATCTAGAGATATATACGTGGGAGTAACTAATTTCCCATAATAATATACATTTATGAATTCAGTATTATATTAATATTTTTATATAGCCTTGTTTTTGCTAAATCTAAAATTATTTGACTTTTCATTTTTTTTTAAAGGAGTACGCACCGCAACACCTTTTGGAAAAATGCACTAAGTCAACGTGCTTAGATTCTGCCTTCGGCATGTCCCAACAAACGCATCAATCATTGGTCCAACATCTGTCAAGAAGCTCACTTTTCCCTCCAGATAAGGCCTCAGCTCCTTTGTAAAATTTTTTTTGGAAAAACCAAATAATTTCATAGCCGTTGAATCATACTCTCTCTCCATTACAAATTGTAAGACAAAAGGAATTTAAGCTCTTTGGAAAAAAGAATCAACCTTTATAATTCCTACAAAATTTAGAATGCCTTATTTCATAGGAATTTTGGGAAATTATTAATCTACTATGAGTTCCAACTTCCAACCTCTTGAAAAAAAATC